TTTAGGTTGACAGTGAGTGTTGGAACTAAAGTGTGGGAGTGAGATTTGAGGAAAAAGTACAAGATACGTTCGTGGCTGATTAGACTTATGAGTTGAGTGAAAAAACCCAGGTATCTGGTCAGTGACTGGATGGATGATGCTGCTGTTCAGAAAAATAGAAATTGTAGAAGGAAATAATAGGTTTTTCTGGCTAAGGGAGGAGTTTGGGGGTAGACGGAAATGACAACATCTGTTTTAAACATGTTGAATTTAAGGTGTCTTTTAAGTATTTAGGTTAATAATTTCTGTAGTATAGGAGGCAGATCAGGAACAGGAATATAATTTAGAAGTCTTTATCAGTTAGAAAGTAAATGAGACCATGAAATTACAGCTATCCTTTCGTAATCTGCAGGGGGTTGGTTCCAGGAACCACAGGGAATACTCAGCACTTTGGGAAGCTGAGACTCCAGGAAATACCAAAATCTGAGGATATTCAAGGTCTTGATATGAAATGTCGTAATATTTGCACATAACCTGTGCGTATCTTCCCATATAATTTCAGTCAGTTCTAGATAATACCTAATACAGTGTAAATGCTATGTAAATAGTTGTTACACTGCATTGTAAAATGTGTGTGTGTGTATATATTCCCCCTACAGCTCCAAATAGTTCGAATCTGCAGTTGGTTGAGTCTGCAGACGCAAAACCAGTGGATACAGAGGGCCGACTCTGTGGTATTACACAGGAAGAGTTTACCGAGTGAGAAATGAGGTCGAGGATATTCTAGGTGGTCTTAGAAAAGCAGTCAGCAAAGGGTATTGAGAAAAGAGGAAAATGTTTCTTGAGAAGATTAATTTTAAAATACTAAATGTTGCGTTAGTATTTGAGACTTTGGCATTCTTTACAATTCATAGATTGTCCTCAGCAATAGATTAGATTACTTACTTACCATCTCTATTCAAGTCTGTAGAACTTTTTTCGTCTTTTCTTCCTTTTTTTATTGTTTGCATGAGTATCAATTAAGGAAAAAAATAACCATGTTTGCAATCGATTACTTTCCCTACCTATATACATGGTATCTGATCAAAATACGGAATACTTCTAAAGCAATACGTTAATGATTTTTTTTCACATTTAAAAACCTTGATACATAGAAGGAAATCTGATTGTAAGGACCTCAGTTCATACAGAATACCCTTAAAGATGTAGGCTAGTCTTAATTCATACCTAAGTGATATACAAGTGTATCAATAAAACATTGATAGTGAAACTTTCCGTCAACACAGTGTGCCTAAGAGAATAAGATGATAACAATTCCAAAGTATTTTGACAGTGGAAACTTGGATGTTAAAAATGAGGAGCTATGAGATAGTCTAATTATATCTATGATGACAAACAGTCCTTTTGGTAATTTTTTGAATTTAGACATGAAAATACTAGTTGCATATCTTTTAAAACACCATTTTGGAACTGCTTAAAAAATACTTGACCAGACACGGTGGCTCACATCTATAATCTCAGCACTTTGGGAATCCTTATATAGACAGAAGGATTGCTTGAGCCCAGGAGTTCGAGACCAGCCTGGGGAACATAGGGAGACCCTGTCTCTACAAAAATAAAAAATTAGCTAGGTGTGGTGGTGTGCACCTGTGATCCCAAGTTACTCAGGAGGCTGAGATGGTTGGATTGCTTGAGCCTAGAGGTCCATGCTCCAGTGGTCTGTGATCACGCCCTTGCACTCCAGCCTGGGTGACAGAGTAAGACCTGGTCTCAAAACGAAAAACAAACTTCCTTTTTCTTCTCCTTATTGTGTGTAGGTGTAAAGATATTAATTAGACGTGTGTACACATTCATGGTTCAACTCCATCTCAGGAAATCAAAATAATGTCTGGTGAATTTGATATCATTTACTGACATCTATCATCTAGCATGCTGCAGGATGGATTTTGGAAACTGTTAAGGTTTGACTGACTAGAATTCAGAAAGTCTGGATAAATTACATTAATAATTATAATGGTTCGATTTAATCAATTTCTGTTGGCACCAAAGCAAAAGCACATACTGACTTTGGGCCTATGCAAGGTATATAGGGCCATAGTGAGAAGGGTGAGAAGTTAAACTTGAAAATGATGATGGAAGAAATTTCAGTGACCACAGATCAATTTCCACTAACTCAGTAAGAAATGGATCCAAGAGAATTTGAGATGGGGTGTGTGAATGTTACAAAATACACATAATAACTTCAGTTCTGTAATTTAATTTTTACAGTAGTAAATTTGCTATGGTTTGTACATCTTCGGGGTATATCCGGAATCTCATCACTTCTTACCATCTCTCTCACTAACAATCTTGGGCCAGTCCATCATCATCTCTTGCCCATATTATTGCTGTAGTCTCTTAAATTTTACTGTATTTGGAATCACCTGAAGATTTTTTTTTTTTAATTGATAGTTGACTCCCACCAGCAATTATTCTGATTTAACTGGGTTGCAATCAGGATATCAGGACCTCAGGACTTATTTAAAAGCTTCCGGTGTTTCTAATATACAATGCTTCACCTAATCAGAAAACCAAGTCTTTCCCTGAAGTAATTCATTTTTGACTGTGTTTTCCTTCTAGTAGACATATTAATTTAATTTGGGACCTTTCCATTTTCTAAAGTTTTAGGACTAAGTCCTGGCATATCTATTAGGCTTTTTAGTTGTGAGCAATGAAAACTGACTCGGGCTGATTTAAGCATAAACAAACTTTACTGATAGTATGTTGAATGGTGCACAGAGTTGGTAGAAGGCTGGATGGAGCCAACCCTAGAAAAAATACATGAATGAAGGGGAGGCTAAACAACTAGAACCACAGCAAAACTCATGCCAGCAAGACCGTTATGGCTGTGTCTGCTGATTGGTGACTGGATGCTGCTGATTGCACTTCTGGTTGTTCTGGTCACTCCAGGCCATGCTGGTTCTACCGCCTTTGGAAACTAGATATTGCTTTCACTATTGCTGTCATCAGAAGAATTCGTTATTGTCTCTGCTCTTTGTTACTAGGCTCCACATTCAAAATTGCTGGTGGGTGCATCTCTGTGGGTAAGCATAGGCTGCCAGCAGGGCATGTGAAAAAGCATCTGCATTTTCAATTTTAGTAGTGGGAGATGGGCTCTGTTTTGCACCAAGATTTATGAAGTTAGAGATTCCTCAAACACAAACAAGGGCTTTACATGCTTGGAACCAACAAAATGACAGAAGCCTACTGCGCATGGTATAGCTTACAATGTGTTCTTTATTTTAGACATCAGTTCATTGTCAGACTAACAGCCCATAGGATACTGGTGTTCTTACGTAATTAGTTTTAAACCTTTAGAGACCGCTACCACTTGGTCCTTAGCAGGCAGTAAGAGATAAAATAAATGACCAAGTAGCAAGCAAATTAATAGGAAAACTTATACATATAACTTCTTACAATATAAACTTACTGTCTTTGGAGGTATAGATAACAGCATATGTAAAAAATAGCATGTTTCTAAATAGTAAAAATGTCCTGAGTTTCTGTGATGGAAATAATATATCAATATTATGTGTCAGCACTCTTTAATGGAATTATAACATGGGCTATACATGTAATACATATATGTAATTTTTAACTACATTGAAAAGTAAAAAGCCAGGTGCAGTGGCTCATGCTTGTAATCCTAGCACTTTGGGAGGCTGAGGTGGGAGGATTGCTTGAGGCCAGGAGTTCAAGACTAGCCTGAGCAATGTAGCAAGACCCTGTCTCTAAAAAGAAACTTAAAAATTAGCTGGACATGGTGGCATGTGCTTATAGTACCAGCTACTCAGAAGATGGTGGTAGAAGGATCACTTGAACCCAGTAGTTTGAGGCTGTCATAAACCATGATTGTGGCATTGTACTCTAGGCTAGGCAATACAGCAAGCCTTTATCTCTTAAAAAAAAAAAAAAAGAGGGAAAAAAGTAAAAAGAACCAGACATTTAATTTTAATAATAGCTTAATAATTTGAAATATTATTTCAACAAGTAATCAGTATAAATATTTGGGGGATAGTTTATATTCTTTTTTTATACTAAGTCTTTGAAACCTAGTATGTATTTTACACTTAGAGCACAGCTCAATTCACACAAGCTACATGTCAAATGCTTAATAGCCACATATAGCCAATGGCTACCAAATTGGACAGTGCAGTCCTGTGGCGCTCTGTAAAATGTTATATGACTTGTCAGTACCGCCAGCTAAACATACAATGGTTAATGAAGGTTTGGTTAGAGAAGGTTTGGTTATTCATTTTCAAAAAAGAAAACTAGCTTTTAAAATCCAACACAGGTCTGGGTGTAGTGGCTCACGCCTGTAATCCCAACACTTTGGGAGGCTGAGGTGGGTGGATCACTTGAGGTCAAGAGTTTGAGACCAACATGGCAAACATGGTAATAATAAAATATAAAAATTAGCCAGGTGTGGTGGTGATTGCCTGTAATCCCAGCTACTTGGGAGGCTGAGGCAGGACAATCGCTTGAACCAGGGAGGTGGAGGTTGTAGTGAGCCGAGATCGTGCCATTGCACTCCAGCCTGGGCAACAAGCAAAAAACTCTGCCCCCCCCCAAAAAAAATCCAACACTGTAGTTTTACTTGATTTTGCAGTGTTGTACAATCTGTGTGTGTGTGGTAGTAGGAGAGGAGGCTTGAAATGGTAAAAAAGAGCCTAATCATTTTCAGTAGGTTTTGTTTTTGTTTGTTATTTTTATTCTCAGAACATTTAAATTTGTAGGGGATTGAGGTATTCCAATATGCCTTAAGGCGGAGGAAGGCAACATGTTGCATGCAGAGTTTGCCTGTGAATAATCGAATTAATCATATTTTTCTGGGCTTAGTATCTGATGATTTGAAAACTAAAAAGGTGATAGTGACTGACTTTATTTGTGCTTGATATTTTGTCTATCACATATGACTTATTTTCTGCAGGTAATTCATTTTGGCAGTAAATTTTATGTTCTAATTATTTTTATTATTGCAGGCTGCCGAATCAGGAATAATAAAAGTTAAAACAATAGCTGCGCGAAACACCGAAATTTTGGCAGGTAATTTTTTTGTATTAAAAAATTTAATAATTTACAAAACTTTGACTAATAGTGAAAGAAGAATTTTTCTTGTAAAAGTCATACATTTTCTGTAACATCTCTTCCTCATCCCCTAACATATGCTATTCATAATGATACAAAATGGGTAAAAGTTCCTAACTTATGAACTGATTGTGTTTCCCAGCGATGAATGCTATAAAATTCTCTGAAATCAGAAAGCTTAACACTACTAACTCCTTAAAGGCAAGGAATTTTTTTCTTACTCATCTTTGCATTCTCCTCCACTTCTCGCTAATCACCTGAGACACACCATAAAAAGCATTCAGTAATATTTGTTTTGTTGCGTTGAATTGAATAAAAGATTCATTCTCAGTTCACTTTCTATGATCTGCTTTCTCTTTAATATATTATAAACAGTTCATAATGTAGTCTTCTATATTTAGTTGTACCATATGAATTTTGAGTCTTGGGACTAAGGCAAGATAATCATGAAAACAGAATGAGAGTGAAGTAGAGAAAAAACAAAAATGTTTTCTTACCTTCTCTTGATTGAACCTGGTTTTCAAGGAGGAATTTTTAGGAGTTTCTCTTTGGCATCATTCTTTTCTACTCAGTCCACTCCTTTCTCTTCCTTGGTGCCTTTTGTTCTTGCCTCCATAATGAACATGGAACAGAGGTAAACTGGCTTTTTTTCTTAAATCTGTTATATGCAAGGCACTTGTGTCATTCTATCTTACATAACAAGCTTGTGGGGAAATCTTATCTTATTTGATAGTAGAGCAAACTGAGATGTTACTTGCCCAAGGTCACAGGAAAAGTGGTGGAACCAGATTAAAATCCAGGAGTGTTCAGGAGCCCATGTTCTTCCTGCTGCAATGTGCTCCCATGTTATCACCAGGTTTCCACACTAGCTACTCATGCCCACGTATTTCATACATAACCACTGCTTGCTTCAGTGATCCTTTAATCTGCATCTCCAGTTTCAGTAGTGCTGCTGATCTCAGCTAATCTATGAGAAAAGAAGTCCTATTAAATTAATTTACAGAAAGTCCAAATAGAATTTGCACAAAGTCCAAATAAAGAATCTCTTTTAAAAGGGATACCAATATGTCTGTAACTGATGGGATTTCAACATGTTATGAAATAAAATTAAGATTTCTGGGGACAGATTAAGGATCAGAGGGCAAGAGTGGATTTCACTTAGGCTATCCAGGTTTACTGGAAGTTTGCCCTTAGGGTAAGCTTTCCTCAATTATATCTGTTTCACACAGCCTTTTCCCCGATTTTGAACAGTCTATCAAAATACCAAATAATAGAAGTGAATAATGCTCTATGCAGATATTGAGAAGGAGTATAGTGAAAGTGGTGGGTAAAGGCAGAGATTGGGTTACGAAAGTTGGCAAATGTGTTTGTTTTTTTTTTCTTCCCCCTGAGATGGAGTTTTGCTCTTGTTGCCCAGGCTGGAGTGCAATGGCGTGATCTCGGTTCACTGCACACTTCACCTCCTGAGTTCAAGAGATTCTCCTGCCTCAGCGTCCCAAGTAGCTGAGATTATAGGTGCCTGCCACCACGCCTGGCTAATTTTTGTGTTTTCAGTAGAGACAGGGTTTCATCATGTTGGCCAGGCTGGTCTGGAACTCCTGACCTCGTGATCCCTCCTGCCTCAGCCTCCCAAAGTGCTGGGATTACAGACATGAGCCACGGTGCCAGGGGAGCACGTGGGTTTTAATGGGTGATGTATATTACGCAGATCAGTTACTGTGGAGAAATTGGTGTTTAAAGATAAATGATGTCCTGGATATTTTTATGTTGGAGACTTACCGTAGGCCAATCATACTAGAATATCACCGTAAATATTTAAAATATTTACAGTTGCTGTTACCTTTGTTGATACTGTGGTACATTCTTAATTATTCTCCAGTAATATAAATTTTCATTGGTTTTATAGTTTGTGGAAGACTTTTTTAAAAAAGTGACTGATTTCTTCAGAGGATCACTGTTATTTCAGCCTTCTATCCTAAGTAAAATGTCTAATTAATTACTCTTAAGATGAGTAAGAAAAATTTTGACTTAGTTGGTATGAGTTAAATATATAGGCAGGCTGTTAATTTCATTTTAATTCAATTAGCATTATTCAAATCAAGTTAGAACAGATCTGTATGCAAATACAATTAATAGTTCATGCTTTATTCTTCATAGTATCTAGAGCCATGTAGTTGAGGAAGTATATTCACACTTAAACTTTAGTATTTTTAATGAAGTATTTAAAGCAATTAATACCTAAAAGTTACAGATTTATACACCACTCTAATCTTGAAAATCAGAGGGTCTTCAAAACAGAGTTTAGTATATAGTTTCTAAACTATATAATTAATTCAGAGTACAGTTAATACTGAAAAATTAGTTAACTTTTTAAAATTTTCTGAGAAGTATTACTTCTTTATGGTACTTGAGACTATAGGAGACTATACTACTTTTGTGCTCTAATGTATGTCAAAGATACCAAACAATTGAGTCTCAAATGAGATGGGATATTAAAATCTCATATGTCTCTTTATATATATTCAGAATATATAAAGGTTTGTTGTAAGAATGATTACTTTTAATTTAGATCAAGTAGTTTAATCAGTGATACTCAGCATAGATTTCTAGTCAACTTTAGTTTTCTTAGCTTTATTTTCCAAGGGAATATTATTTGTGTTTCAGAATAAGTCTTTGCTTTACATCTCCCCTTCTTTTAAGCATCCTCCTTTAATGTTTATTTTTCTTTGTTTTCACTGCTAGTCATGAATGCTGACATAAGTGGGAATGCTATGCCAGGTAATGTCAGCATTGATTCAGATGTATAGATCATTATTTCAAAATTTCCATTTTCTTTAAAGATAAAACTTTGAAAATGAGAGAAAGCAACATAAAGGTTTCATTTACAAGGCCAAATGCCTTAATCTTACATTTATTATCTATTATATGAATATTATATATTATAAATATGTGTTTATTATCCTAGCTTATACTAAAAATTCAGAAATTATTTGTTATACAAAAATTACATAATCTGCTTTTTAAATAAATATTTGTGACAAGGAAATCAGTGAAGTTGTGGTACCTTTTAACATTGTATATTTAGCCCCTACCCCAAACCATAGTGATTACATCTACCTGTGGCTGCTTTCAGCTGCTGTCATTATACATACTTTTTACATAAATAATCAGTAGATAGGACTTTTGTTCTTTTTTCACATGTTGTTCCCTAATTTTTTTTAAAAAGAGCTTATAACTAAAAGGTCTTTAAGTAGCAATGAGTAAATATACTTTGGAATTTTTTTCTGATTTTAAAAGATAATTTATTTGCTTTTTAAGTTTAATATATTTATATTTTATATATAATATGTAATATATTTTCTTATCAGTAAATGTGCTTGTGATATTTTACAAAGTCTATATATCATGCATACTCTTAATAAGTAAATAATTATGTAAGAATCTTTAGAGGAGATATAAAGATGGGTAATGAAATTCACCTCTAGTCTATATGGAAATGCAAGAAATATACTTGAAAGAAATGTTTGTGCCATTCATTCTGTTTAGCTTACCTACTCCTTGATTTGGCTTTTGAAGACCTTTTAAAGAAACTTTTCCTTCTTGATGACATATTCCCTGAAGTCAGAGTCAGCATCTTATTCTGCCTTATGTTGCCAGCATACTACATGGAAAATAGTAAGCCCTCATTAAATCTGGGCTAATAAATAAATTACACTAAGGGGCAGCTAAGTCACTGCTGCCTCTAATATGTTTTTCTACCTCTTTTATTTATTTATTTATTTTTAGAAATGGAGTCTCACTGTGTCACCCAGGCTGTAGTACAGTGCATGATCTCAGCTCACTGCAACCTCCACCTCCTGGGTTCAGGCGATTCTCCTGCCTCAGCCTCCCGAGAGTGCTACCACGCCCGGCTAATTTTTTGTATTTTTAGTAGAGACGGGGCTTCACTGTGTTAGCCAGGATGATCTCAATCTCCTGACCTCGTGATCTGCCCAACTCGGCTTCCCAAAGTGCTGTGATTATAGGTGTGAGCCAATGTGCCTAGCCACCTCTCTTTAATTTTACATGTTATAATTATTGAATAAGTGAGTTTTATCATCTTAAGTTCAAGTTCAGATAACAGAAAGATGAAGGAGACTGACCCTTAGTATAGAATTTTAATACTATGTGGTTAATGCCAAGGTGGAAGTATGGAGAGGGTTGCTATAGGGACATAAGGAAGGCACCTAACCTGCCTGGGAATCTGAAGCAGCCTGGAAGCCTGAGGAAGACTTAGTCAGGCAAATAAAGTATAAAAGTGTAAAGTAAAGGGGAGTCCGTCAATACATGAGGTTTGTGTGTACAGCTTGCTGTACTTGCATACGCTATTCAAGTGTTGCCAGACCAAAAAGTATGAAGGGAGAATAGGTGTCAGGAATTTCCTAAGTGCCATTATGTGATATTCTGAGCAGTGTGATGGAAAGAGTTTGAATCAGGGAAGTGACACGTTCATATTTATATTTTGAGTAAACTAGAATAGCAGTGTGGAGGATATATTTCAGTGTGTAGTCATTTAGGCAGAGATCTTTTGGGAGGCTGTTTCTAAAACCCAGGCTAGAAGACATGATGGGGCAGGGGGGGTTGCTGTAAATAAAGCTGATTTCACAAATTGACCTGTTGAGCCAGGGAGATTACATAGTTTATCTACAGTACAGTGTGCCTTTATTTATTTTTCTTTTTAAAATTACATCCTTATATTATATCATTTGTATTTTTTATTGTATCATAAATATTTTTCTTTGATACCAGTTTTTTTAAATGTTTTACATTGCTGTATGATAGGGGAGGGATAGCATTAGGAGAAATGTCTAATGTAGATGACGAGTTGATGGGTACAGCAAACAACCATGGCATGTGTATACCTATGTAACAAACCATATGTATCCCAGAAGTTAAAGTATATTTTTTTAGAAAAAGAA